ATCGCTTTGGAGATTCCGTATATCGTCAAGTTATCGGAATTCCAATGGGGACTAACTGTGCACCACTTATTGCGGACCTGTTTTTGTATTGTTATGAGTTACAATTTATGACTAAAATCAGCAAAGACCCATCGAAACAACATCTGATACAAAAATTTAACAATACTTTTAGATATTTGGATGATATATTGGCTCTCAATAATGACGACTTCAGTATGTATACTAAAGAAATTTATCCTGTTGAACTTACTTTAAAAAAAGCTAATACTAACAATGACCACTGTCCTTTCCTCGATCTTGATATCTATATCATTAACGGGAAGCTTAATACAAAAATTTATGATAAAAGAGATGATTTTTCATTTCCTATCGTTAATAATCCATTTTTAGATGGTGACGTTCCCTCGTCACCATCTTATGGTGTTTATATATCTCAACTTGTACGATTCGCTCGTGTATGTAACAACGTATTAGATTTTAGCGAAAGAAATTTATGTATTACTGAAAAATTATTACACCAGGGTTTTCGATATCATAAACTAGTCAAAACATTTACTAAATGCCAAAGTCTACCAAATCTATTCATAAGTTGTTAAACAATCAGAAATACACAACATTGTTATTGAAACTCTCAAGTACACACAAGACGCTGGACTACAATGAATTTTTATGAAAAATTGAAACACGTCGATAAAATTGCACTTGTGTGCAATACATCAAGGGGAAGTTTTTCAGGGGGACTCGGTGGTCGAATGGTCTTAACAGTACATCTCCAATTATCACTAGCCAGTCAACAATGAGGTTGTGAGATCGAGTCCCGCTTATGGCAACAGCCTTCGACTACGATCGTAATTGATCGGGTACTCCGGCTTCCTCAATCAATAAAAATTAGATTCAATAATATAGTAGAAATCGTTAATCACCAACAATCAATCAGTCAATTTGTGTTTCAGTTATTATTGTCGGACATTTTATAATGTAGTTAATAGTATGGAGCATTAAGAGTTATCTACCATATTGTAACGCTGTTCTGTTATACTTTTCGCTAATATTTCTCATGAGCAAGTAATGATTTTTATAGTTTCAACTAATTTTTATAGTTTGTTCATATGTTGTACTGTTACACCACTGTCCAAGGTTTAAGGGGGGGAGGGGGGGTGTTGGCGTCCGCAAACATGTTTAAACCCGCCACATTCTATGTGTTCCTGTCCCAAGCAAGTCAGGAGCCTGTGATTCAGTGGGAGTCATTTGTTGCTGTATATTATATTTGCATTTCGTTCATTGATTTTACATATATCAAAGCGTTAGTTTTCTCGTTTGAATTGTATTACATTTGTCATTTCGGAGCCTTTTATAGCTTACTCTGCGGTATGGGTTTTGCGTATTGTTGAAGGCCGTACGATGAACTATAGTTGTTAACTTCTATGTCATTTGGCCTCTGGTGGAGAGTTGTATCATTGGTAATTATACCACATCTTCTTATTTTTATATGACATATCTTCTAATCTTAAGCTTATAACTTTTTCAGCGTAAAAATCCATATATGAAAGAAATTGACCTCTTTCTAAGTATGATAATAGACTAGGTTGTTTTGAGTACATCTCCCTATTTATAGGTACAAAACAATTTAGTCGAATGATCCATCAAGGGTATGTAGCAAATAAAACTATATTTTTCTGTGCATAATTCAAGAGAATATGATCTTGAATCTCCTTTTTGCACGGGCATAGCATTGGAATACATGTAGTTAACAACTTGTTAGTATTTTAGTTTCAAATTTATATGTCTAAATTACTTTTTCCCCCTTGCCATCATATTGTTTGATTATAACAAGCCATTTTTTTTTCGTGTACACAAAATACACAGAATACAAACTGGTATGAAGAGGATATCTTCTTTAGGTCATGATCATATAGAGTTATCTTGAGATTTTTGTACCACAAAAGCATTCACAGGATACATCAACTTGGAATTAGAATAAAAAGCCTGATTGTAAAATTTTATTGGTTGATTAATTGATAAAATTGAGAATGGAAATGGGGAATGTGTAAAAGAGACAACAACCCGACCAAAGAGCAGACAACAGCCGAAGGCCACCAATGGGTCTTCAATGCAGCGAGGCGTCCTTCAGCTGGCCCCTAAACAAACATGTATACTAGTTCAGTGATAATGGACGTCATACTAAACTCCAAATTATACACAAGAAACTAAAATTAAAAATGATACAAGACTAACAAAGGCCAGAGGCTCCTGACTTGGGACAGGCGCAAAAATGCGGCGGGGTTAAACATGTTTTTTGAGATCTCAACCCTCCCCCTATACCTCTAGCCAATGTAGAAAAAACAAACGCACAACAGTACGCACAGTAAAACTCAGTTTAAGAGAAGTATATTATTTATGGCCTATGATATTGAAATCCCGGAAAGGTGTAACTCTTTTTCAAAGTTTAACAATGTAAGTGAAACACGTGGGAATTTGTCATTGTTAATCATTTCCGAGTAGTAAGGTTGATAAAAAAGTAGGTTATGTAGTTTTGCTCTCTTGTTCTATATAAGTCAGTGAACTCTAATTAAGGTATATATGCTAGGCAGTCAACCTTAATTGAAAAGACATTTGACAATAAATTTTAATTATGTCTTTTATGTAAGACAGCCAGTCGTAACTGAATAGACATTGCAACCGCGTCTGAAGGTTCGTTTTCTCTCTAGAACTACCGTAAGTGACGCACTTAGAGGATTTACGCTGTTTTCCATATATTTTCCTGACGGCATGGAGCTTGATGGTTTTGTTTATTACTTTTGCCAATTTGGGAGAAAATGAATTCACACGCTGTGAATGGTTGGACAAATTGCCAATCAACTTGAAAACGATTGTCGTTCACAATTTCTAAATTTCCATCTAATGCCTTGATCAATATCGCAACTAAGTATTATAGGGGAGATAGTTTATTTTGATGTTTATTAAATAAGACATCCTGGGAATAAAAATATATTCTGAGGAGATAAATAAATGCGTTTCTCTGGTATGTCCAAGGGATCTAAGATTTTTATCTTTATTTCCAATCAATTGCAAATGATTGACTTTAAAAACAGTGGAATACCGTAAATTTGTTTGCGTACATTGAACTATGCCATAAACTCTTCAATAGATAGGTTGATCTAGGACTCTCCACACAGCAGAAAGTATTACTTGTAGGAAGAAAAGGAGATATGGTGTTTATGACAACAAGACAGTAACCAAATTACAAAAATAACCCAAAGACATGCATTTAGAGGGCAAGATACATGATACTTAAGTCGTCTATACAGCTACTTTTAAATATGTATTTTTTTAGTACTTTAATATAAAGTACGAGAATGTACCTATATGCAAGAAACATGATACGGCAAATCTCTATACAGTAGCTACCTTTGCATAGTAGGTACATTGTTGGTACCTTAAACGTACCGATATAGCTTAGTAATGTCAATAAATAATATGTACTTCTAAACGATTTTACTATTTTAGTACAATTATTTTACAGTACTTAATTTGTACTACGAATTTGACGTATTTGTTTTGTTTCTTCATTGTGTAGTATAGTTAAGGTGCTATAAATATATATTACTTCTTTAGCACTATAATTTAAAAATAAATTTTACTGAAATTGCGATACTACAAAAATTTTTTTAGAGCTGAACTGATACAAAATAGATTTTTTACATAAAAGGTACAACATGTTAAAAATATAAAACGGGAACTAAATCTTGTAGTGCAAATCTAGCCCTTATAAATTATGGAATTATGAAATACTACAATAATTTGGAAGTACTGCTGCAGTACCACCTTATATGGGTACATTTTTCGGTACTTCAAATTTCAGTACTAACAAAGTACACATGCAAAAGTAGCTGTTTACAATAGACAGTTGTCTGTTCAATATGTAAAATTCTAAATTGCACCGAGTTTGCACAACAGGTGAATAAATCAATCAGAAACAATCAAAGATCATATGTAATCAAAACCAAATTCTCTGAGGAAGAAAAAATAATACTAAGTTATGACATATGACAACTACTGACGAAGTATCTGACTGAATTTTATAAAAAAAAAAATGAATTATTTCAGACAACATTGACAATGAAGTTTTAATTGCCTTGCAATAGACTCTGATCAAAACTACAGCAGGTAAGACAAAACTTGAAATATCGCTATTTTCTATTTTCAACACAAATTTAAAAGTATTATCAGATGTTGTGTGTGTTATTTTTGAATATTTTTTCATAATAGGAGTTCCTTTTCATCATCCAAGTTGTGATTGCATGGGATTATTAATTGAATTTAACTAAAGGTGTTAATACAAATGTATAATAACAAGGATTTTAAACTATTTCTGTAAATCATCTTCCACGACAGAAAACACCATTAATACCATATATAAGAAAGAGACAAAAACACAAACAATATAATGAAGCATGTTATTTTGAGGTAGTTTAAAAAATTTGAGCGCAGCCCGAATCTAGACTTGTGACGTCATGAAACGGCTTTTATATGTATAGACATTTTGGTTGCCGTTCTGACTTCACACAGCAATAAACTCCGTAAATTAAAATTAATTCTTATCAATTATAATTCTCACAAAATGCACATAACATAATATCCGGATGCAAAATGTCATCAACAAGGAATAGACACAAACGACGACAAGAAACGGTTCTATATCTGTATTAACTTTCTTGGTGCCTTCATAAACATACAACTTAAGGTTATCACAAACAACTACCCAGTAGACAATAAACTGATACAGATTGAGCAAAACAAACCAACAAAAACTGGAAATAAACTCGGTTGCTCTTGGAGGTTCATATAATCAGTTACTTTTCCACCAGTTCCACTTATCGTTTTGCACGTGACAAGTAAAAATTCGGTGATGTCAGCTAGAAACGAGAAAAAGGACGGAAGTGTGGCTATTTAAAAGAGTTCGTCGACAAAATACCTAATACAATAATACAGACTTTTTTTTTATTAAACCTTGTTTTCCCAACTGTTCATAAATATACATGTACATAAATATTTATTACAAAATCTAAGATTTCTGTTTCTGTTACAGGTAGGGTGAAATAACATGATTAAAAATGTTTATGCATTACATTACTGAATAAATTTTAATTGATTGGTCATTCCTTAAATTATAGATACCTCCACCTTTTTAATAAAGTTTATTTACTAGTTACTACTCGTATATTAATCAAAGACGTGATGATCGTTATATTTTTTTGTAGACATCCTGTTTAATTGTCAGTTTTGACAATTCGATGTTATCGTAGAAGATGACGGGAATTACAAAGTAAAAACTTTAATTTGAAAACTTGTTTTAATCTTTGATTCTTCCTTTTAATTTGATATATTTTGATTTTTTAAATATATATTGAAAACATTTTTTTTTTCATCACGTTCAGTTTTTTTATTTCAAAATGTTGCGTTTACTTATATTTAAGCTGAAGCACGCCTCCGGGAGAGGGATTTTCTCGCTGTGTTGAAGACCCATTGGTGGCCTTGGGCTATTTTATGCTCTTTGGTCGGGTTATTGTCTCTTTGACACATTCCCCATTTCCATTCTCAGTTTTAAACTATGTTTGGAAATAAAATTAACCGAAGATGTATTAATTCAAAAATGCGGGGAAATGTTATACGCCCCGCTTAATATTATATAGCCATTTAGTCCACGCCCAGTCTGGAAAAATTAATCAAATAATATAATCAGATTTGCAGTTCTTCTATTGGTTCCTGGTCACATGCTAATTCAGTTGCTATCGAATTGGAACTAGCACCATCTTCTTTCCTTTGTAGACTATACACATGTTGTCTCAAACTTGTCTGATAGTTTTGTAAATCTGTTGAATGCTTGTTTGTATATTCGTGTGTGAAACCTCCAAAAATACCTCCTAGTATTGGTCCGACCCAGTATATCTACAAAGAACGCATGTAAAAGAAAACAAAATTTTAGCCACATTCAATAATTAATCAAACACCAATTTAGTGCTTTTTTTTAAAATTATTTCACGTTAGTATTAACCAATCTACTAATTTCGCTTCAATGTTATGTGTAACTATATATATTTGTCACTCCTGTTACGCAGGAAATCTGCGTCTGAGTGTTTATCAATAAACAGTAAAACAGTGCAACCAATAAAGGCGATAGTAATTTAACTATGATGAAATCACATAAATCGATTAAGAAGGACAAATGAGATTATTATACTTCACGTTAAAATACCAGATTTTGATTGGCAAATACGGGGGAGGTAATTTACTCTATCCCATGGCTCAGCAGAAGACAATTTTTTGAATGTCACCCTCTCGTGCAGATCAATATTGACACAACATTCAGTATGATAATAAAAAAACACATAGCTGTCAACATTGGCCTCGATTAACAATGTTTTCTCGGGGTAACAATCTGTCATATCAACCTCTCAGCTATATGTTATTTATATAGTAACAAAAAAACAAAAAAAACAAAAAAAAACCGAGGGAATCGCATGAATTCCAAAAGGAGCTAGACCGCTACAATTTCAAAGTGATTCTTTTACTTGTAAACCAACACAGATGCAACACGTGCAGAGCAATTCACAATTGAGAGTACTTGCTAGACTCTGTAACGGTTTGATATTACATCGGTTATTTTTATAGACTTGTTATTAATTGCTCAATGTTAATTTGTTTTATTGTATAGTTTTCTTATTTTATACTTTTGTCTTAGGACTTTCTTTAATGAATTCTAGTTACTAAAAGTCTTATAGTTACCTATTAAAGAAAATTCAAACATATGTTTCTTTTGAAAAGTTAACCTCAAAATTATACGATAGATTGACAAAATCATACCCAGTGATTTTCCCAGGAGTTGTGGATTAAGGCAGGACCAAACGACCGTGCTGGATTTACACTAGCACCTGTAAGATTGAACTGAAAAAGAAAAAAAAAGAAAGATCATACATGTCTTTAACATACTATAGTGAGTGGGGTGATTCTATAAGTTAAATAGTTTGCTACTGATCCCCTACAGATCCTTAGGGGTTTAGTAGCGAACTGTATAAAGAATCTAGCGCACACTGGCCTTCCCTGTCAAGTTTTATATAAAAATAAAACAATGAAATACTCAATGAAATCTTCTGACCAATGGCCAATGGCCAAATTGAATACGGATCCATAGGGGGCCCACGTGTTGGCGTTATACCAATCATATTGTCACTAATTTACCTCGGGTGCGATAAGACGTCACAGTGGCTTGTTGATGATGTTACTGAAGTACGATGGCGACATTATTGGGATGTATTCATAATTGCATCGGTGGTCATGGTAAATTGGAGGCTAGAGTAGTTTATCGATGTCAAATATCAAAAATTTAAGAAGATACAAATAAAACTAAATGACAAAAAATGAGTTAATCGCATGGCTTTAAAAGTAACGCCACCGGATGCATAACAGGTTACAAGCACCATCCGTCATGCAAATTCACACACAGTCAAAATGTCACAACATAGAATAGGACACACGCGTTAAATTGCGGATCAGACGACTGATCTATTGTCTGAAGTCTATTACATTATCAACAAATAATCTTAAATAAAATCTGAGTTTAACGACATTTGAATAACGTGATTCGTTTCGAATAAATGTGTAAACCATTGCAGATTAAGAAAGGAACATATCATTTAATATAACTCCCGCCATTTTTCATGTATCGCCTTGTCACATTTGTGAGTATTTAGATTTGACCTATATAAATTGGCTTGTAATACATTGCTTGATGTACAGATAGATAACACATTGCGTTAAGGATCTCTACAAAATCTATATTATACAAATAATATCTTAAACTACAAAATCTATATTATACAAATAATATCTTAAACTACAAAATCTATATTATACAAATAATATCTTAAACTACAAAATCTATATTTTACAAATAATATCTTAAAGTAGGAAATAATACTTCAAAATATGTCATGAGAGAAAATGACACGTATGACAAATATAAATTCCATAGAGAATATATTCCCAAAAGAGTTTTGATATATAAGTGTATTTAAAACAAATCATTAATTGAACTTGGCCTTCGGTAAAAAAAAACCCTCATTCACTTGGCATGTAACGTATCATTCAAGTTCGCTGTTGTGTAAAGCAAATTCAAAAGACATCTAGCTATTGTATTTGTTTGTCAAGAATAAACACATAAAATTTTCCAGGCTTATAATTTTGTATGTCAAAAGCTCGTTTCAACTACATGACTACGTGACACGGCTACACGAAATTGTATGAAATAATATTTATTTTTTTGTATTTTCTTTAAAATATCTATAGCTGATATGTTTGTAAAGGATGGTCGGTACTCCGACTTTTCTTTCTGATATCTTGTAACACCTGTGTTTTTCGTAGGAAGCAAACGCATAAAAAGTTTCATAATAGTATATGACTAAATGAAGATGTAAGGTAGACGACAATTGGGAACAACCAAACGACATTAAGATCACATACGATTTTTTGATAATGATGCATGTAGAAGATTTAATCGAATCTCTACATAGGTTTTCCCTAATTTCATGAGTCAAACACAGTATAGAATAATGTCATCATGTAACATTCAAGTAGATAATGCCTCACTGTTAATATCCAAAGTTAGACAATTAGAAGTTGCGACTATTAGAGTTACCAATAGAGCAAAAACTAATTGATAAAGGTCAGACATTATTTTATCTAAATAAAACAGATAACACAACACATCTGGTTTTTTTTTAAATTTTTTTTTGCAAAATTTGATCCAGAAAAATAAGTTCTTTAACAGATAATAAATTTGATAAAAACCATGTTCAATATTGAACTAAAACATGCAAAACTTGTGTTTAAAGCAGTTATAGCATATTTATAGTTCAAGTAACATTTTACATATCTGATTATACTGCTTCAGAAATCATGCCAAGTTGATATATCTTTACGAGACAATATTATCTTTATTGAAGAAAATAATATCCCAAATTTGGACTGGTTTAAAATAAAATAAAAAAAATTATTCTTACACAATTCCTATCTTAGCTAATCTTGCATTTATTCTGGATATATATAATAGAGTTTAAAGTATGAATAATTGACAAAAATAAATATGATAAAAAGCATGACTTCCTTTACAGGCAACTTATAAATATATGTCTGTTTTGAGATCAACCCACATTCTGTCAATAACAATACATAATCGTCTGCTTTACTGATTGAAAAAAAACCCTTAACGGTTGTAATTAGTAGATTTATAACTCCTAGCTACATCAACTAAGTCTTAGCGTTAACAATATCAGCACTATTTAGTTTTCTCTGTTTACTTATAGATCAAAGTCTTACTTTAATACCACAGCTGAAGTCATTGTGTATGTATTGACATGATTTATGGCATACTTTTCTAAAATTCTTCTTTGATATATTAGATAAAGAGCTGCGCCATGAGCGCATGACACGCTCGTCGCATTTTTTTAACGAATAAATTCCATAACTCCTCAATATCATATCAGAAATTTATATATATATATAATAAATATAATAAAAGGAGCTTATTTCATAGATATGAACCAGTCAACAAAGTTTCATGAAAACTTCTCAAAGCATTTTTGAGTTATTGTCCCAAAACTGAAAATCCCCCCTTTTATATGAATAAAATCCCATGATTCGAAAACATAAAATCGAAAATTTATAAAATTCGAAAGGGAGCTTTCGTCAATAGATATAAACAAAGCACCAAAGTTTCATGAGAATTGTTCAAAGCATTTTTTGGGTTATAGTCAGAAAACTGAAACGTTACTCATTTTTCATAAATAATATCCCATAACTCGGAAACGTAAAATCTAAAATTTATAAAAATCGATAGGGAGCTTACGTCAATAGATATAAACAATAAACCAAAGTTTCATGAAAATTGATTAATATTAAAATAAGGAGATGTGGTCTGATTGCCAATGAGACAACTAAACGTTCAAATGAAATGGATGTAAGCAATTATAGACAACCGTACGGCCTTCGACAATGAGAAAAACCCATACCGTATGGTCGGCTATAAAAGGCCCCGTCATGAAAAATATACAACAATTTAATTGAGAAAACTAACGGCCTAATTTATAACAAAACAATTTACGAAAAGCAAATATGACCGACATGAACTAACGACAACCACCGACAACTACAGGCTCCTGACTTGGGACAGGCACATAAATAATGTGGCGGGGTTAAACATGTTTGTGAGCGATCAACCCTCCCCTAACCTGGGACAGTGTTGTAACAGTACAACATAAGGACAAACTATAAAAATCAGTTGAAAAAGGCTTAACTCATCAGATGGATAAAAATGGAAATACATCTAACAAAAACACAGAGTGGACGTGGACGGGTACTTATACATCCCCTCAAATCGTCTTTGAGTTATTGTCCGACATGTTGACGACGGACGGACAGACGGACGGACAATAGTATACCATAATACGTACCGTAAACGGACATATAAATCTTAACAAAAATCTGAGTTTAAGAGTCCCTCAAGCAAAGCTGACCTTGGATGCATTTTGGCTATTCTTTTATGTCCTTTAGAAATAGGAAGATGTGGTATGAGTGCCAATGAGACAACTCTCCATCCAAGTTACAATTTATAAAAATAAACCATTATAGATCAAGGTACGACCTTCAACACGGAGCATTGGCTCACACCGAACAGCAAGCTATAAAGGGCCCCAAAAATTACTAGTGTAAAACCATTCAAACGGAAAAACCAACGGTCTAGTCTATATAAAAACGAGAAACACGTATGGACTACATAAACAGACGACAACTACTGTAATCAGATTCCTGACTTAGGACAGGTGCAAACATTTGCAGCGGGATTAAACGTTTTAATGGTACCAAACCTTCTCCCTTTTCTGAAACAATAGTATAACATCACAACATAGAAAAACACACTATAAAATATCAATTGGAAGGCTTAACTCAATCAAAAAACGTAAATTAACACACAATGAACGAATAAATTTGACCTGTGACACCTCAATGCAAATACACATTTAATAAAAAATTACAAGGGATAAATAATTAAAGTCAAAAGTAAATAAACAGGTTTAAACAAAGTTAAAGTATGATATCACTGTGAAATGTCAAACATTTTTTAGAAAATCATGTTTGATTATAAAGATCCTAACAATTTTACGTTTTTATTCATCCTAGCTTTACATGTTTAAGTTTAAGCGTTCCTGATGAAAGTATATCCACAAAAGCTCTTCGGACGCATGTTTATAAAACATTATATATATTTTTTTCATTTGAAGACTTTAATATTATATTAACTACAAACGCAACTGTATTGATTTATTGATTGATTGGTTTTTAAAGACACTTTCAGCACTATTGTGATATTTCGTGGCGGTCATTTTTAAAAATGGAGGAATCTGGAGTGCTAGGAGAGAACTACCGACCTTAGGCAGGCAAAATGACAATCCATGTCAATTAAGAGTGGAGTCGAGCGCGCCTTCCACGTGCGAGATTCATACTCAAAACCTCAGTGTTGACAGGCTAGTGATACAGTTGTTTTGTACTTAGACCACTCGGCCACCAAGGCCCCTAACTGTATTGACTTATATAATCTAATGTAATATTTGACATCATGTACATTTATTACATATTATAACAGGAAAAGGTTTGAAATTAGACATGAAGTGGAAAAGACTACGAAATAGTCAACATTTCACTTTAAATTGTCTACTACGAAAAGAATTGTTGCCATTTTGTTTTCTTTTTCGGTCTATTTTGGTTATAATATATAGCTCCTCGTATATTCAAGTAATTAAACATCCCTGTCATCCAACTTTCAATCATCCGTGATGAAGGTAAACCAGGCAATGCAGTGTTGTATTACAATAAAATTTGGACATTCAGTA